TTTGGTTTTATCACTTACTAATAAGGTAAATATTTGGAGAGTCACATAACCTCTCTGTAACATAATAATCCTTCATTTGTTGGGGGATAGTAAATTAGTATTATCCTACCCACCTCACAAAGTTAGTGGAAGAATCATATCATTAGGATGTGGGCACTTAAGTTTATATCAGTGCCAATGACTTTTCATTGGTACAAAGTAATGGAAAATCAGCCAGGTCCCTGTAGTGATGGTGGCCCCTAGGGCATCTCAGTGGCATGCCTAACAACTGGTGAAATAGAGAAAATAGCAGAGGAGTATAGTCAAAGCACAAGGCAGAGGAGAAGCAGCTACAAGATTGACTACTTTTACAATTCAAAACAAGAAGTGGGCTATCATCTCCTTTGCTTTGGTTTGCATTGGAACTCTCTGGGGTTGCTACTTTTTCAGTTCTCCTCCTCTTAGGGCAAGAGAATTAGAGCACTGGGACCCAAGAAACATCTTCACTCACCCATTACCCCTCCAAAATTCTCTTTCCCACTCACATCAGAGAACTTTCTACAGCCTATTTAGCAGCTTCCTTTACTTCATGTCTTTCATTGCCCCATCACCAAAGCTGGTGGTAAAACTGTATGATCCAAGAAATACCATGTTGGAATCTAAACATTTGAAAAAGAACATCAAGAACTTAGAAAAACCCTCTCTGCTTCAGCAGTATTGCTCCAAATACTCTTATATGCCGTGAGCTCAGAAAAGTGTATATCGGATATCCAAAGGTTAACATTGACTCTTTCCTGTTTTTTTTTTTGCTGTAAAAATTCTATTTTTCAAAGAAAAGGGGTACATATAGCAAAATAGATGGGGTCCCCCAAAGAAGTAAAATAAATATCAAAGACAATATATTTCAGAAAATATTATATACATTGTATATATTTATCCTTTTTCATGCACATAGTCAAATATAAATTATTTATCTAGTCACATGTTCTCCAAATGTCTCTTTTCTTTCCCGTGAATGTTACCTACAGCCCTGTGTAAGTGGACTTAGAAGAAAGGAAGTATGCCTGATAACGTCATTTTCCAGAGTGACCAATTTATGATTGAACATCTGTGTTTCCAGTGAACGGCTGTGCTTTGCACATGCCCTACTGCATGTGTGCCATGGAGCCAGGGGTGTACGTGCTGTTGGTCATCTTCCTACTTTAATCCTTTGCATTATAGACATGGTTTCTTTTGTTTGACCCACAGCTTCTCCTCTTCCTTAAAGCCTTTTCCG